AGGAGAAAGTAGACATCAGTGACTTTAAATTGATATAAAGTTTGTAGTAATTGAAGGTCTGTAGCGCTAAATATAAATTTTTGAAGACAGTGGACAAACTTGATGTATGAACAGAATTTGAACCAGCTTTTTTGTATAAAATTGATTTAAACAATTTGTTTCTTTTCTATAAAATCATTCTTCCATTAATTCAACTTGAAATCATATCCAAGAAAGTCCAGTTTCTATTCCATTCACAAAATCTCCATTGGACTAATGAAATAGGAAATTTGACGTACACTAATTTAAGAAACTTGCCATTGGTTATGCTTTGTAACAATCACATCATAAGAAAATTGTACATTAATCCTTACATAAGACTAAGTCTTTGTCTTGCCATCAACATGATTTCAGCATACCGCTAATTCGTAATGAGAAAACATTAAACATAAGGCTTAGTAGTGTCCAAGATTACAATTAACAAGTTTTTACAACATGAGTAAGCAACAAATCAAGTTCACTATATATTCCCCTTTATTACATGATTCGGATGCACAGATATGACATCCAATATAAAATCAGTTTGCTGGATTCCTTGAAGCAAAACCTTCTTACATTCTTAAGCACCTACAATTGTAATTTACAGCCCAAAAAGGGGTGAGAAAATCCCAGCAAGCAATGATACTCAATCCATTCATGAAATACATATAGTGACATATCGTATTCCAAGGCAATTTCATGAACTACATTGCGTATATAACACCTTTTCATATGTGTATATATAAGTATATTTCATATCCTTCCCCAAAGAGAATTTTTGTGGCACTCATAGGAATCTCTTATAGGTACCTATGTGAACCATGCCTAGGTTCCTGCCCCGGTACCGGGTACTATATGATACCATGGTACCATGCCATATGGCTGAACCTACAAGTGCATTGAATGTATAATAAAATGATGCATAAAAGTGCAGCACACTTTTAACCCTCTGTAAGAACCTACAACGATAAATTAGGAATTTAAATAAATTAATTATGAGTTTAAGAAATAATTCCATAATTGACTTTGAATAAATATAGATATATTAGAATAATTATCGAAAAGGGTAAATAATGCTAAAATCACTTTTCTGATGAAAGTGCTGATATCGGTTCTGCTTCGCGGTATAAATGCGTACCAGTGAAGTATCCCGAAAAATTATAATAAAAGTACAGATATTCCTAGAAAAATATCTAGGTCAAGGATATCAAGTTTGGAGTAAGAATAATGAGCGTTAATGTTAGAACTAATATCGGCTACGTATAAAACGCGTACTGGTAAGTGCTGCGAAAATTATAAGAAAAATATGACAACTCCTGGAAAAATGGCTAGGTTCAAAATACGAAGTTTGAGATTAAAATAATTAGCGAAGCTATTAGAACTAATATCGGTGGATTAATTAAGTGGACCTATAAATAGAAATTTTTCACACAGCCCTAGGTTGAGACCACGTGTGGGGCATATTTTCAGGTACAAGTACCTCTGAGGTTGAGACCTCTAGCAGTAGGAGGCCGGAGTTGAGCTGATATATGCGTGCCTATCTGTTAACACGCATTTGGATTCATATCTACCTTATTATTTCTCTATGGTTATTGTATTGGAGAGATGCTATGATTATGTTGTTTTATTTGGTGAGAATGAGGGTTGTCCATGCCACGTTGGTATAAGCTGTAATTGTTCAGACTTGAGTTGTATTTGGTATCAGGATATTATCCGGTCTACGTGTTGTAGTTCCGTGACTTGATATAATGATGCACGATCACTGACACGAGACATGGGACATGACACGCCGACACGTTAATTCTAAAAAATGACATATTTTGACATGTTGGGACACATTTTGATATTAAATAATATTTTTAATTTATATAATATAATTTATATTTAATACATATAGTAGTCCATAATAAGTCATATAACCAATCAAATATTCAAATTTTATAACATAAATATAAAAAATAATAATTTTTCGTATCTTGTTAATTTTTCTTGTCAAATTTCATAACAGAAAAAAATGATTTATAAATGATTTTTTTTATTTTTGGTTAATAAAAAAATTAAGACTAAAAAAAATGTGTCAGAGCGTGTCAGAACGTTGACCACATGTCGGAAAAAGTTGCCTGCGTGTCAGAAAAACGTGTCGGAGAGTTGACCACGTGTCCCAAAATATTGACCGCGTGTCGGACGTGTGTCGGAACTTGTCGGTGTCCGACACGTGTTCGACACGCATTTTTTCAAAAAAATGATGTGTCGGGGTATTGCAGCTTATTTATGATATGAGGTTATTTAGTGTAGTTATTTATTGCAATTTACATACAGACGATATTTTGATAATTAATAAGTAAATCCACTTGGTTAATATGATAAGGTTCGTAATTGGAAAAAAAATTTAGCTTCCGCATTTATTGAGCTGCGCTATTACAATTTCTATGTTTAATACACTGGGTGCACACGAGGTGTTACATTTTATGGTATCAGAGCACTTTCTAGGGAAAAAGCCTGTATGTATTGCAATAACTTAAGATGCCTTATCGTGTGAATTGTCTTGTGAGTTTCTTTTAGATTTTGCTATGATAATGTATGCGTGACCACATCGTGTGGGCCTGATCAACTCTTCCTTTGTGTAACATGTGCAGAGTTATGGTACTTCCTAGGAGGACTTGAGAGACGAATGAGGGCTAGCCTGATCCAATCCTGACTGCATTGGCTGAGATGCAGACGACTAGACAAGTCGATCAAGAGGCCATTAGAGTGGCCAATCAGGCTATGATGGACGCCGTGAGAGAGGCGAACATGAAAGCAATCGAAGACGTGCTTGAGGCGAATAGGTTGGCGAACATGACCATGATGAGGGTCATGTTGGAAGAGATGAGGACTGATTGTGTTGATGGCCAACATCCTCCGCCACTACCTCTACCCCCACCACCACAACTGCTTCCACCTAGTCACCAGGATGGGGATGGAGGAGGTGGGACGCACATTCCAGAGGACGATGGTCAAAGTTACATAGAGGGTGTTAGTCACTTCACAGGGATGATGCAACCCTTTTATGAGCCAGTGGAAGATCAGGAGACGAGAGACCGTCGGCTGAATGCTTTCCGTATGTATAAGCCACCTTCCTTTGATGGATCCTATGATCCGATAGTTGCTGCAAAATGGCTTCAGGCCATGGACAAGATATTCAGGGTAATGCAGTGTACCGACCCACAAAAGCTATTGTTTTCTACTTATATGCTGAAGGGAGATGCTCACGAGTGGTGGATGAACACCTCTCAAGCCTATGAGATGTAGGGTCATGTTATCACGTGTCCATTCTTTGAGGAGCTATTCCTTGGTAGATACTTTCGTATGATGCTCAGGAGAGGAAGCAGGGAGAGTTTGAGCGCTTGGTGCAGGGCTCGATGTCGATTGATGAATACTTTGCTAAGTTCAATGAACTGGCCAAATTTGCCTAATTGCGTATTGTTATGCCTACACCTGCATTATTGGCTTCTAAGTTTCATAAGGGACTTAATGGAGAGATAACGGATCGGATCGCTGGAGCTTCCTCTAGAGATTTTGGTACTTTGATTCAGCAGTACAAGGACATTGAGGATGTTTGTGTGGCAAAGAAAAGGAAGACTGGGGAACCTGAGGCGAAGGGAGCTAGTGGCTCTACTACTTGGAGAGATAGGAAATTTGGAGGAAAAGATAAAGGAAAGCAGCTATCTGCCAGACAAACGCCGAACCAGTTCAAGAGGACATTGACTCAGCAAAGAGGTATAGCTAGACCTCTTACCATTCCTAGATGCACCAGGTACGAGAGATCACATGTTGGGCCTTGTGCCACCGGTCAAGTTATTTGTTTCAAGTGTGGCAAGGAGGGCCATTATGCCAGAGATTGTTCTTCGTCAGCTGCTAGGGCTGCAGCGGTTCAGGCAGTTCTTTTACAGATGGTTCCTATTCCACCTATAGCGGCACCTGTCATACCACCAGCCACGGGCTGAGTTTACACCCTTGATCGTCAGTAGTCGGATAAAGCTTCAAACCTTGTGAGAGGTACTGTTTTTATTGGTGGTTGTGACGTTGATGTATTATTTGATTCCGGGGCTACGCACTCTTTCATTGCGACCCCGATTATTGTGGAGCTTGTGTTTTCCATTTCTGTGCTTTCTCCACCTTTGCGGGTTACTACCGTCACTGGAGATAAGTGTGATACTTTCTCTGTACACCATGATGTTGTGTTTCAATGGGATGGTCGTGAGTATTCGTTAGACCTGATTGGTTTGCCTACGGATAATCTGGAGATCATCCTTGGCATGGACTGGTTGTCCAGGAATTGTGTGATGATTGATTGTTGTGCGAAGAAATTGGCGATATCTCCTTGTGATTCCACTACCAGTTCTTCTCCTTATCTATCAGTGCTTCAGGCTAGGAGGGCCTTGAAAGCAGGGGCATATGGTTATGTCATGTTGGGAGGTTTGGTGAATGGGACACAAAGGAATATTACCGGCATTCCTATGGTGAGGGAATTCCTCGAGGTGTTTCCTGAGTTTCTGCCGTAGCGAGAGATAGAGTTCTCCATTGATCTTTTTCCTGGTGTGGGGCCGATTTCATTAGCTCTATATCAGATGTCTCCACCTGAGTTAGCGAAACTGAAGAAGCATATTGAGGATCTTTCTGCGAAGAACTTCATCCGGCCGAGTGTGTCTCCATGGGGAGCACTGGTCATCTTTGTTAAGAAGAAAGATGGGACTATGCGATTGTGCACCGATTACAGACTGTTGAACAAGGTGACAATCAAGAACAAGTATCCTCTCCCACACATTGATGATCTTTTGGATTAGATTAGGGGTGTTTGCGTGTATTCCAAGATTGATCTTCGGTCCAGATACCATCAGATCCGGGTTAAGCCGGAGGATGTCCCCAAGATCGTGTTTCGTTCGAGATACAGTCATTATGAGTATTTGGTGATCCCGTTCGGACTCACCAATGTATCGGCGATGTTCATGGATTACATGAACCGTATTTTTCAGCCATACTTAGATCGTTTTGTTATCATCTTCATTGACGATATATTAATTTACTCCAATAGTGAGGAAGAGCATGAGGAGCACTTGAGGACTGGGTTACAAGTGCTTAAAGAGAAGAAGCTTTATACCAAGCCTTCAAAGTGTGAGTTTTGGCTCAATTCAGTGAAATTCCTTGGGCATGTGATTTCTGCAAAGGGAGTTGTAGTAGATCCAAATAAGATTGAGGCAGTATTAGATTGGAAGAGACCCAAAACAGTTACTGAAGTGACAAGTTTCTTGGGTTTGGTAGGTTACTATAGGAGATTCATTGAGGGATTCTCTAAGATGGTATTGCCACTAACTCGCCTTACCCAGAAGGAGACTCCCTTTGTGTGGACTCACGAGTATGAGGAATGCTTTCAGGAGTTAAAGGAAAGATTGACTACTGCACCAATGTTGATCTTTCCTGATCCTGTGGAGCAGCTTGAGCTTTATTGCGACGCATCTAAGAAGGGGCTAGGTTGTGTGTTGATTCAAACTAGCAGGGTTGTTGCTTATGCTTCGAGGAAGTTGAAGCTTCATGAGGAGAACTACCTGACTCATGATTTGAAGTGGCTGCTATTGTTTTTGCCTTTAAGATTTGGAGGCATTACTTGTACGGTATGAAGTTTGCAGTATTCAGCGATCACAAGAGTTTAAAGTACCTATTTGACCAGAAAGAGCTGAACATGAGACAAAGAAGATGGATGGAATTTCTGAAGGACTACGACTTTGAGTTGAAGTATCACCTATGCAAGGCCAATGTGGTAGCTGATGCTTTGAGTCAAAAATTTGTGAGTCTATCCAGTTTGTTGATTAATGACTTTGATGTGATTGAGAAGTTCCGAGACTTGACAGTGACCTCTTTGTTTGGGGGTGCACTCTTGGAAATGGAAATAGTGAGAGTTCAAAATGAGCTGATGGAAAAGATGAAAGAGGCGCAAGTGCAAAGAGACTGCCCTGACTATGTGAAGAACCAAGATGGTGTGTCTTGGAATGATGAGGGGTTGTTAATGTTTCAGAAGAGGATTATGGTACCTAGAGGTCCGTTGACTGAGGAGGTGATGTTAGTGGTTCATAAGGCCAATTCATTATCCACCCTAGGGCTATAAAGATGTACCAGGACTTGAATAAAAACTTCTGGTGGCCGGGCATGAAGAAAGATATCGCAGTTTATGTGTCTAAGTGTTTGATATGTCAGAAAGTAAAGATCGAGCACTAGAAGTCGTCTGGTAAACTTCAACCTCTTGAGATTCCGCAGTGAAAATGGGGGAGAATTTCCATGGACTTCGTGGTAGGATTGCCTAAAACTCAGGCTGGTTGTGACTCTATTTGGGTCATTCTGGACAGATTGACCAATCATTCCCATTTTCTTCCAGTGAAGGTGAGCTTCTCTACAGAGCAGTTGGCCAAGATATAAGTTCGCGAGATTGTGAGGCTTCATGGGGTGCCCGAGAGTATCATCAGTGATAGGGACCCAAAGTTCACATCTCGGTTTTGGGAGGCGCTGCAGGGAGCTTTTGGTACTCAGTTGAGATTGAGTACAGCCTATCACCCTCAGACTGATGGACAGACTGAGCGGACCATCCAGTCATTGGAGGACATGTTGAGGGCTTGCACCTTGGAGCAAGGCTCAACATGGGATCGGTACCTACCTTTGGTTGAGTTTTTGTACAACAACAGTTTTCATGCCAGCCTGGGCATTGCACCCTACGAGGCGCTGTCAGACTCCTACCTGTTGGTCTAAGGTTGGAGATCGAGAATTATTTGGCTTGAACTTTGTCCAAGAGACTACCCAGCAGATCCAGATGATCAGGGAGAAGCTGAAGCAAGCACAAAACCGTCAGAAGAGTTACTATGACAACAAGCATCGGCCCCTGGAGTTCATTGAGGGTGAACACGTGTTTGTGAGACTTTCACCTGTCACTAGTCTTGGTTGAGCTCTCGGAGTGAGGAAGCTTAGCCCGAGATTCATTGGGCCATACCAGATTCTTAGTAAGATAAGGCTTGTAGTGTAACAACCCGTTACGTACCGGTAATGTTATCATTGCATATGGTATTAAGCGCAGTTACAATCACAGTAATTGAGTTAATTAAATTACGGGTAAACTTTTTCTTTTATTACATTCCTTTATTTAAACATTACCCATTTCCGTAATCAATTAAAACAACGCCATAATTGTAAATGCAAAACTCGCGGAAGCATAAAACATACCAAATATAATCTCTCTAAGCAATACCATTCCTTTTAGCTTTTAGAAAACACATTTTCAAAATTTAACACAGTGGTAATCGATTACCACCTTGAGGTAATCGATTACCAAAGGTTACTGTAGAAGTCAGAACCTTAATTTGGGCTCCCCTATTTTCTGGTAATCGATTACCAAGGATTGATAATCGATTACTGAACTAGGTAATCGATTACCAATGCTCTGGTAATCGATTACTTTGAAGACAGAAGCTCAATTTTTCGTTCCCTGTTGCAGGTAATCGATTACCAGTGAAAAGTAATTGATTACTATGCAGCAAAAATGACAGATGACAGCTTTTAAGACCCAAAATGAGTGGTCTAACCTACTCTTAACACTTGCTACTTTATATACACTTTACACATGTCCTAATGTAGGCTCTAAGCCCTTCCATGATGCATATTCATAAATCAATGCATCATTACAACCATTTGCAATATCATAACCATTTTACACAACCAATGGTCTATTTACAACTCAAGTCTTCCAATGCCTCAAAATACAATTATGTGGCCATGGACAATGTAAGAACCCGCACCGTTAATTAAGGTATTTAATTAATTAATTATGAAAAATAGGAAATGATTCCATAATTGACCCTAATAATTATTTATGAGGCTTAATAATTATAGTAAGTGAGTAATAATGCTGAAAGTTGTTTTTCTGACGAAAAGTGCAGATACCGGTTCTGCTAGTCGGTATAAATGCGTACCGAAAAAGTATCCCGGAAAATTAAAGTAAGTGCATGATAATTACTAGAATAATATGTAGGACTTGTAAAACGAGTTTCAAGTCCAAATAATGAGAACTGGTGATAGAAACCAGTACTGACTTTGAAAAGCGCGTACCGAAAAGGTGCTCAGAAAATTATAATAAAAACATGATAATTCTTGGAAAAATGTGTAGTTTCAGGTTCCAAAGTTTGGGATCAAAATGATAAGCGTAGCAATTTAAGCTAATACTGCGTGTTTTAATGAGTTTTGGCTATATATACTATGTCTAAGGGCACATTGCCCTAGATACCTAAATTTTGAACGTGACTTTTCTTGGAGGCTGACCAGAATAGCGTTCTTAGGCTTCCTTCTCCATTTCTTGATCAAGTAATCACCTTTGATGCTTGTTCTTCCATTTAAACACTTGGTGAGGGTGAGGGTTGGCCTTGGGACTGCATTGTTGGCTTTTTTCTGAGTTAGAGAACCTGCGTGAGGGAGTTTGAACTGCTGAGTTTTGTGTTTAAAGGGTGGGAGTCTCATTCTTGGCATTTTGATCTTCAAAGTGTCACCTTTGTGAAGAAAAACCTACTCTTGATGGTGTCATTTTCGTGCATCATGTTGAGTCAGCTTTGAGTGGCTGTTGTGAGCTCCAAGAGCATCTCCCTCCTCTGTTTTTGAGTGTGGTATGATCACCAACCTTTAACTTGAGTTTTAATGCTTAAAAATGGAAGCTTGAGGCATGTTAAGGCTAAAAGATGATAACTTGTTGTTGGGTAATGCTTAACACACCTAGAAATGCATGTTTAAGTGTTTAAAATCGGTAAAACCCCAACCTTTGAAGGATATCTTCACGAAATGCAGTTTTTGCATTCTGTTGTGAAATATCCGGATATCTGCCCGAGAAATATCTGGATATGTGATCTCTGGATATGGGATTTGGACATCCGGATATGGGATTATGGATATCCGGATGTTGCATATCCGGATATGGTCCCTAGGAATATCCAGATATTCTGGGATTTCGCAGAACAGTAGCTGTGCTGTGTGTACAGTAGGCTATTGGGGGTTTGTGGACCCTAGTTTGATGAAGTTGAACTTCTGTATTTAATGGACTAAGCCAGAATCATGGGATTAGGGCTTGTGGCTTTGTTAGAAGCTTTAAGACTTGAAAACGCAATGAAAAGGCGGTGTCTTTAATTTGTATGCATGTGGTACATGTTTATTGATTTATATTTGGTCCATATCAGATTGTGATCTGCTGTGATTGGACTTTGAGCTTGTGGCATTTGATAGCTGGCTTAGAGGTAAGCTTTCGTGTCCTCGGTTTAGCCATGTTGTGGTTCCACCATGTCCCATGGGGATATGGTATATGCATGTTGTGTTACATGCTTTTGATGTTTTGGAAATGCTGTTGAGCTATTGTATGTTAGGGCCTTATTGATATGCATGGAGGTGTTCCACCTATACGGTAAGCCTGAGTATGTAGAACATACAAGAGGGTGAGACTGTGGGTGAGGTGCAAGCGGTGTTCCTTGTACTACATGTAGGGAATAGACGTATTCCTACATTTCTCTGGCCAGTAGATAGTGATTACACACATGCCATAGATATCTGTTGCACTACATAGTTTTGGAACTGATAATGATATAAATGCTTTTTGAACTTATATTGCACATGTAAGTGAGCTTGGGGTGGAATATCATTGAGGACCCCTTGTCTTACTGAGATTTCTAGTTTAGAGATCACACCCCACGTTTGGGGAATGCTTATTTCAGGGTCAGGTAATGTTGAGACCTCAGGCGGCAGGAGGCCGGAGCTGAGTTAGATTGCTGTTATATTATGCTGACATGATTGGATGCTGGATTTGCATGCTGCTTTTATGCTTATAGCTTCAGTTTATGTTTTGGAGTTTGATGTTGAGACTTGTTGTTTACTATGTTTATTTGGTGAGCATGGGGATTGTCCATGACACATAGTATTATTATGTCTTGATTATGTCTTGAGTCTTTTGGAGTTGTAATAATGTATCAGGATATTGTCCGGATTACTTGATGTAATGCCGTGATTTAGATACACACTTTATCTATATATTGAGGTATTTCAGTATATGTCTTATTGCAATTTACATACAGGCGATATTTTATGAAATTGATTAAGTAATCAAGTTGGTAATTGATAATGACGTCATAATTGAAAAGAAAAAGAATATTCCGCATTTTTAATTAAGCACCGCTTAATACGATGTAATGTTAATATTCCGAGTATACACGAGGTGTTACAGACAAGTCCCAGGCTCACCCAAAATACAAAATAACAAGAGGCATAACTATATATCAATTTTAAATGACTTAGCATATAGTCATAAATATACAAGAGCATGGCAATATCCACATGCAACAAGTTCATAACCTAAGTCCACAATATTAAATGCTATGCTATGTACATCAAATGGAATCTTTCAATATGTCATACTCTCCAAATGCACCTCACGCTCTACTCCTCCACTAAGCGGGCCTCTTGCCCGGAGATCCACCATGCTCAGCAAAACCTGAAATGATGTCCCCAAACGCGAGGTGAGATATACAAATATGTCTCAGTAAACCAAGGGTACTAGTGGGCACAATGATCATCATATAAAATGCATCACATACAAATATCACACAACAACAACTGGGCACAAATTCAAGGACATCCACATTAGGATTCCCTTA